TAACATTTACAGAGACCCAACAGATATGAAAGCTCTCAATATCTCTTCCTATCCAAAGGCTGTTTTTTGTGCCAAGTCACCATGCCTAAATTGCTCTACTATTAATGTCAGTATAACAGTACATATATATCAGTCCATCAGTTGCTTATTGTTGGGATGTTGTGAACAATTAACTCAGAATCAAACGATCTGCGAGACCTTGCAATTTTGTCCAATCACCAAACTATGAGCAATTTTATTCTCCCTGGAAGAAGCCACCTTCAATTTTTCATGAATTATACAAAAAAAGCAACTTTTTGCAATTTTCGCTTTCTGAAGAAAAAATGGCCTAGAGCCTTGCAAGATGCATCGCAATGTTTTAAAAAGCTGACAGGCATTGTGAAATCCTGGAGGGACTGATATATGGTTAAATGGAATGTCCTATACTTGAACAAAAGTCTAAACAGATATAATGCTAACCCTGCAGGAACCTCAGCGCTCTCATCAAAGGGTGATTTCAAGGGATGCAGCCCTCTCCAGGTCTTCTGGTGCAGACTCTCCACCCTATTCATCCCTCCTCTGCAGTCCTAAAGATGGAGGTTCTACTGCCAGCAGTCCACACGCTCCTTCCAGTCCCTCTTTATACACAGTGGCCAATGGCAGAAAAGATCCATCAATCATTCATCAGTGTAGTCCTGGCCTCAGTGGACAGCAGAAACTCCAGGGAAGTCCTAATCACTCCCAGAGACCTTGCCTGACAACGACCATGTCTCTTACATCTCATGCTGGTGTAAAATCCAGGTTTTCAGATGTCAAATACAGAAAGACCTCACAGCCCCTCTGCTCACGACAGTCCCCCCACAGCAGATCAAGGGCAAACAAGCCTGAGAAGGAGTTGGAAGAACACAAAAAAACTGATAAGCTGATGAAAAAGGAGAGAAAGGCTGAAGTTCCAAAGACTAGCAGAAAGGGTGAAGAAAGAAAAAGGCGGAAGAAAAAAGAGGAGAAAAGGTTGGGCGAGAGAAAAAAGAAGAGGGATAAAGCAGCAAAAAAGGAAAGAAAGTTAGGTTTGAAAAGTAAAGCCACAGAAAAGGAAATGTTTACTTCCATCTGTATTTCCAACTCCTCAGGAGAGGCCAAAATGAGTAAAATGGAGACCACAATTCTGTCCCCAAAGAATCAAGGCCAGTTACCACCCAAACACAAGCATAGGGAGAGGAGTGAACGAGCGGGGAAGACACACCGGACGTCCACAAATACTCCTCATCCTAGCTGCACTTCAACACAGCCATCCTCAAAATCTCAAAATCACAAAATGCCCAAGAAGAACAGCAATCCCCCAAAACTCCCTGGCAAGGAACAATTAATACAGTCTCTTCCCAGGAACACCAGCCCCAAACAGACCAGCAAGAGGCCTACCATCGTCTCATCCCAATCAGAAGACCGACCAAAAGCAAAGCCCAATGACACACTCCCCTCCTTGTTATTTAAAGCCTTAGCACCTCTCACTACATCATGTTCTATTAGCTTAGAGAAGCCCATCCATGGCAAAGAAGGTGGGCAGGGAGGGGTTCTCAATGCCCCAGATCTACAGCCTGTTGCCGTGATGGGAAATTTGCGGGAAATGGGAGACAACCTTGCGAATACTCCTCCTGTTCTCAGCTGGCAGGGCTCTCCAGTATCAGCTCTGGGAGAAGATGAGGAGGAGCTAGAGAAGGGAGTGATAAGTAGACCTGTCCTCCAGCCCAGCCCCACACAGTGCTTTTCTCCTCCTCCTGTCGACAGCGAGAGCATTGATGATAAGAATAAGGAGCCTTGTGAAGGTATACAGGCCGATAATTCCCACAATGGCACGGCTGAACTCTGTGATCTATCTTGTTCAACAGAAGAAATTGCTGAGAAAGAAAAGGAAGAAGAGGAGGTGGACAGAAGCGGGGAAACTTCTGGCTCTCTTTTCCGTGAGCTTCACCACCATAAAACAGGCTTGGATGATGTCTTCAAGAGCCTGGCCACGTTTCTTGGTAGCCAGAGGGTCCCATGCAGAGGAGGTCCGTTTGGGGGGCCTCCTCCTGGCACCACTAGAGGAGTAAAGTACTCGTCTTCTCTTGCATTGGGACCAGAGATCCAATGTCACGATCATCAAGATTTCTCCCCTGAATCAGATCCCACAGCATCCTCCAAAACCGGCAATCAATCACCAACCCACACTACCTCAGACACACGTTTTAAATCCCACAGTCCGCCAGATCTGAGGGAGCCTGTTACGGATGCCCCGGTGCAGGAAAAGCAGGAAGAGATGGAGAATGATACAAAAGAGAAACAAGAGGGTAAGGATACAGAGTCATCTCTTTTGGACGGGTCACTGAGTGCAAAGCTGAGACTGACCACAACACATACAACCCCATTCACCAGCCTCATTACTGTCTCTACCAAGGAAGAGAGGGGAATCAAGGAAGAGACACAACAACACATTGGGACGGACAGAAAAAGAAAACAAAAGGCTAAGGATGGAGGGAGAGAAGGAGAGCTCAAGATTAAGATAAAGGCAGAAGAAGGCAGTGTCATCTGTCCTAAAAACAAAGCAAATGAAAAAAGTGGTTTGGGGGAAAGGGATGTTTCATCCTCAGTGCTTGTCATCTCCAGAAACTCACCCAGACCTCTCAAAGATATTACAAAGGGACAGGTTCCTCAGGAAAATCAAACCCAGCATGGCAAAGACATCCAGAGAGAAAAAGTGGACACTGGGAACTCTGAGAGAAAGACAATAACAGAGGAGAAGGAAGACATCTGTGAGTTAAAAAATAAAACGCAAGATAGAATCACAAATACCAAGATCTCAAGCTCAGCGTCAGCCATAACAATCAATACATCCAAATTATGCGCATCCACACCGGCAAGTAAACCTCCCAGCTCATTAGCTCCAGTTGACCCACTGAAGCTGAAAGCATTGTCCATGGGCTTGTCTAAGGAGCTGAAGATCCTCTTGATTAAAATGGAGAGTGCTGGAAGACAAACATTCAACATATCCGAGGTTGAGGAGCAAAGAATCCCACTTACCAAAATCAGCATCGAAAACACTGCCACTGATGTGATCAGAGCTTGCAAGTGAGTACTCTACTTAATAGAATTTTCAAAGGAAAATTTCACAGTAGGTTTTACATCTGAGTTGTTCCTCTTGATGTATTTTGTCTCCTATTGTCAACTTTTCTATAGGGGGACAAGGGTGAAGGGGAAATTCAAGGAGTCGTTCCTGCTTCCTGCCTTCTCTGTTAAACCTAGCATTTCCATCGAGACTCCCATTCCGCGGGAAAAGCTTAACCCTCCTACACCAAGCATTTATGTGAGTCCGCACGGATTAGTATAGTCAAAATGATCCAGCCCAACAATCATCAAGTATTGAATCCTAAAAACATGTTTTTAGCCATGCTAGCGGCATGGTTCTAGGGATGGCAATGTCGGCCTGGAGGTCGGTCGGTCAGCCGGTCCACCACTCGAAACTGCAGTATCTCAATAACAATGTCATGGCTTGGCACAACATATTGTCCAGACATCCGTGTCCCCCTCAGGATGAATTCTAATGACTTTGGTGATCCCTTAAATTTTCATCTATCACCAAAACTTTAATTAGTCTAATACTTTCTGACATTCCCATCAGCCTCAGCTGTACTTTGTGTTTAGTGTTAATTGGTAAATGTTAGCATGCTAACACACTAAACTAAGATGGCGAACATGGTCAACATATATATAACATCAGCATGCTAGCATTGACATTGGGAACTATGTTAGCACTGCTGTGTACAGCCTCACAGAGCCCCTAGCATGGCTGTAGACTCTTGGTCTTGTTCTTATATGAATAGAAAAGACTGTGAATCACCGCCATAATCCTACTGAATTATTTGAAATCACTTGAATTATTTCTTGGATCGTTTTCTCGATAGCAGCAGAGAGAGCTGCCTTATCATACCTTGTTTCAAGACATCTACAGGTTTCCAACCTACTGTCAGTATTTTTCATTTGTTTTCAAGATTCAAAATTTTTTCTTTTGCTGCATTCAAATGTTCATAATTGCACTGTGTTTGTTTCTGCAGTTGGAGAGCAAAAGGGACGCCTTCTCTCCAGTTCTGCTTCAGTTCTGCACTGATCCCAAAAATGCTGTTACTGTCATCAGAGGCCTTGCTGGCTCTCTCCGCCTTAGTAAGTTTATACACCATACTCATCTCAGCTAATTTATCTCACACCATTTACTCTATTTAGCTCAACAGAATTTATTAAATTCACTCTAAATCGGTTTTTGGTGATTAGTAGCAAATTGCCATTAATTACGGACTTTTGTTTTGTGAAAATTGTCATGCAAGGAGCAGGGTAAGAGAAAGAAAAAGGAAAGGAGGCATTGATTATATATATAACTATACTGTACTGTATTGTGAAACTTTTGGGGTTTAGTTTAGCTGTACTAGACATTTTACACATGAAGTTTAAGGTATTTGATATATTGAGTCATTTCTATAATGCAAATCTGCAAAGACCAACTGTGAATGTATCTTTCACAATCATTATGAGAGTAATGTACAGATACAAGGTCAGGGGTGAAGATTTGACAAACAAGGCAAAAACTGTTCTAAGTGCTGTGTCTTAAAACTCTACAGCCAACCTGCTAATAGAGCAGCATACAGCACCATATTTTCACAGTCACATCACTATTGTGTCTTTATGATCCATATTTGAATGCAAAGCATGTATGCTCAACCATGACACGATGGCTGGGCCACTGGGAGATTGTACTATGATCAAGGATTGTTCCTTGTAACACATTTGCATATTTCAATGTGTGTCATCTTATTCCTCCTCCCTTTTTCTTTATGCCACACTTTGTTGTATAAAATATTTTAAGCTTAGAGTAAGAACATAAAGAAGTGAATATAACATAACTGGGAATACAACCATTTGTGTGTGTTTTTAAAAATCCCAAGGCCTTAAGAAGTCAAAATTTTCAAATCATTGAAAAATTGATCATTGATAATTATCTTTGTGCTCTACTTTCTGTTCCTTATGTGAGACCTTGGTCTGTTCTCAACTAAATCCCTGGTGGAGGCCAACGCGGAGCATGCAGTGGAAGTGAGGACTCAGGTTCAGCAGCCTGCTGATGAGAACTGGGATCCCAGTGGTTCGGCACAGACGTGGCCCTGCGAAAGCAGCCGCTCACACACCACCATTGCCAAGTACGCCCAGTACCAGGCCTCCAGCTTCCAGGAGAGCCTGCAGGTAAACATTTCCCCTCATGGCAAACACATGCACCCATGGCAACAGGATTGTTTAGTGGGTATGGATATAATTAAAGGCATTTTTAATTGAGCTACACCAGCCTGTATTCAGTGTCCCCACACATCCTGGAAAAACTGCAGAACCTGGATATTTAGAGACTAATGAAACACATGAAACATCTGGAATTTGATTAAAATTACCAAAGATTCTGTAAATAAGTGATGTTGTCGGAGTATAATATAACATAAATCGCTGACCACCTACCTGTAATAAACCTGAGTCACTTCATCATGGCATGTACGAGCGATTTAAGAGAATCCGTGGCATTTGCCATTCACCAATTCTCTCCTAGTTTTTAATAAACTTCACCTGTGCTTATGTACATATGTCTGCCTTTCTGCACAGGGGAAAAACACCCATTTGACCTGAAATCATAACACCTTAATATGAATCAGTTTCAGACTTCAGATGCCTTAATTTATATATAATTTGGAGTATAAATAGGGTCGAATTAAAATATATAACTAAGACAAACTTAATATTCTAGTCACCATATAATCATCATCATGGTTAGCCAATTTACTGAGAGGTTTTTTCAGATCACTATCTAATATCATTCTCCCCCAACAGTGTAACATCACCTACTGCATGTTGTTATATTCTGTCGTCTATTATCTCCATGACTTTCACATCCCCCTTGACCACCTCTCATATCGTCTTTTAGTATCTAACTTAATGTCAGATATTGTGAGATTATTTCTGCCACTATTTCTGTGAAAGTCTTTCTGGTAAGATTTCTATGAATGAAACTAAGAAACAGACGAACAAGTTGCCTTATATGACTGTTTTTGCTGATTATGCTAATGGTACGAATGCACATCTCCTCCTGAACATGTGACATTCATCTGAATCAGTAAAAAAGTTATTTACGACAAATACAAATAGAAAAGTGTCCTTGCCTGAAGCCCATTGTGCAAGCGTACCAGTGACTTAAACCATTTAATCCAATGGCTGATAGATTTGAGTTCAGCCTCTCTTTGTATAATCTCTCTCTCTTTGGAATTTCCCCATTGTGGGACAAATTAAGGAATATTATCTTATCTATCTATCTATCTATCTATCTATCCTATCTATTCTATCTATCTATCTATCTATCTCTGGTGTACTATGCCTCTTGAGCTTTCAGTAGGTAAATAAGTTGTTTTTCTTGATGCTGGAATAGAGAGGAAGAGAATGGCACAGAAATATATATTTATATCTATTTACTCTTGCCAATGTGAACCAAGGTTAGAGTTCCTTGTAATATTTCAGAATTGTGCTGCATTTTTGAACTACGTAGTTACTATGATCAACTCATACATTCCTCCCATTATTCCATAGAAAATCAAAGCAAGCGTGCAAATTTTAATTCATCATCAGCTGCTACAAGTGTAAGGACTAATGAAATACACACATTTAGTAGATACCGTAAATAATCATCTGTTACACATAACCTTTGTCCAAGACTAACCTCAGCAGTGAACTGTGTAATGATGCTTTCATTTTTAGCTGTTGGCCAACCTGTCAGCTAAGCTCATGTAGATGTGTTATAGGAGGAGAAGGAGAGTGAGAATGAAGAGGAAGGAGAGCAGGTCAACTCTTCAGACCCATCAGCCGGTCTGACACTAGCCAACAGCAAAGCTGCTCCCATCTTGTCTGTTAATCCCACCGGCACACCCAGGTTAGCATGAAACTGTGATCTATTAGTATTATGAATTCACTGTTTTACTGTGTTAACAATACTCAACTCAGACTTTGTTCTTCTCCCCAGCTCAGAGAAAACAGTGGGAAAGATCATTAAATTTGGGACAAATATTGATCTCTCTGACCCTAAGAGGTGAGATTGTATAATAAAATTTTGCCCACTCTAACTGTGCTCACATTAAGGTCCTT